ATTTTTGTTAGCGCTTGAAAAAACGACGGCCGAACGTGTGTTTAAACAACGTACGTTTTATATTTTGGTTGATGAGACTAATGTGACTCACATCAAGACATCGCCATGTATGCCCAAAGCGCGATGACCTACGTTTATCGTTACCAGTCTCTCAATTGCTGGCAAACGTCCAAAATATGCTTGAGGCTCCCACCTTCTTGATGGGAAAATATCCATGATTCATGACGAAACTGTGCGCATTTGCCAAGAGTTGTCCTAATAGCCCGTTCTTGACAGCCCGGTCCCTGAAACAGCAGAAGCCCAGAGACCAGCCTGGAAAGATGCTGACAGCATGGGGCCAGGATCTAGCAGGGTGGAACGGAGAGGGTCCGGAAAGAACGAGGGTCCAACTTGGGTCCATCTCGAGGAGTACAAAAGAAGTAATGCTTGGCCTGTATGAGCCCGATATATCCAGTATGAACCAGGATGTAAACTAATTTATTTAACGGCTTTATCAAGAGCCTTAGTCTAATGCGGTCCAGGATCCATGTCGATCAAATAATTCAGAAAGAGCCACGACCTGCTCTGCAATTCTCGTAAGACAACTAGGACCTGGTAAGCACTTGGGCACCTAGTACGCAAAAACTAGCTGAAATGGGATTTCAATGTAGTTAAGCAACGCATACTGTTCAAAGATGTAGAACCGTAGCTTACCCTGAACCAATTAAAAAAAAAGCAATGTGCAATCTCATGATATTTGTACTTCTTATTTCTGTACTTGGACGAAATGAACGCATACTTCCCAACTATCAAGCACATATAGTTTCCGTGTAACCTGTTGCAGGTGCTTCTTGTGTTGTACAAACAATGCTGTAAAAACCAAGCCGCTTCTCTAATTGCTGACTGCCAACTTCTGGTCTGCGCTGAAAGCGAACTGCCAGCCGCTTGTCTGCATTAAAAACGAACACTATCTACGGACTACCAGGATATAGGTGAATCGGTTTACTTTGCATAAGTACGCGTGACTTTGTGATACTTTTTGCCATCTTCGTGGGTCTTATATGATTTTTCCGTCCTATTATATGCTACCAATGCTCCCGCACCATAGTCAGCTTAGGACATAGATACTTGTGGCATATTAACACGCGCGCTGGTCGCGGGCTGGATACCCCTCGCTCGAGCGGAAGTCAGTTTGACGCCCTACCCTGAGATCTCAGGACCTTTCAGAGCTAGATACATTAATCTCAGAGTGTGTTGACCCGTATGTGCACTAACTGAGATCAAAATTTGAGGTTCCTAGGTCATGACCTTCGTGTCAAATGGGGTCAAATGACGGCGAGTTATAAGTTGGTTTTCAAAGGACCCCTGAAACCTAGATAACTGTTCTAAACCAAAAAATCACGTGCTCATCTACGGTCAGTGATCTTGCCTGACCTTTTGAAGGTCATGGTGACCAAAAGAAAACAACGCCGCACTGGGTTTTGCATATGGATAAGCGACAAAGGTTAGCTGATTGTATGTTCCTTAGAATAAAATGTTGACCTGGGTCATTCTGGGTAAGTGAACTATGCTGATCTTTAGGAAGCCTATGGAAGGTGTATAATAGGGTTCCTGTTCTCAATAAATTCGAAATAAGCACAAAAAACTAGGCCATACAGCAAGCCCATGAGTAAAAAACATGTTGATTTTGACCTTGGTTTCACCTTTAAATCTGACCCTAGGTCAATATAACTTGTTGATTTATTTGTTTTGTTGCCTCAGAAAGCATCGCAGAGATGTATGTCTTCGTCTTGCACTCCTTTGACGGATCAGATTAAACTATTCGCTAGAAATTGCTTTCGCTGAAACCTTGAACTGAAATTGACTAGCCATAGGTCAACGACCTTACAAGGTGCATCTACATTTGTGATGACAGGCAATCCGCTTTTCAGTTGCCTACAGCTACGTAAACTTTGGCGCGGATACACGGCGCCGTTCGGTCACCATTTTGAAAAAAGCTTTCGGTGGGGTCAACTTGACTCCCACCCGAGCGCGTGTTAAGACCATAGATAGGTGATTCTTAACTACAAGTTGAAATGTTGTGTTTGTGTATCAAATGTCCATAGTCTCTTGGAATGTGTCGTTGGCTCTGACCAATGTCAACCATCTGGCGTCTTTACAGCCCTGCTTGTTCTATTCCTAACCAGGAGCAATGGCTGCCAACTCCAAACGCACCACAGCATCGTCCGCAGCTCTTCCGCGCTGGTCATCAGAGCTCCTGCTGCTTGACAATGGAGGCCAGTCTACCAGAACGGGTCATTTATTTAATTAACAACCTGAAAGCTAGTAACAATCGATAGATTCCAAGGATAACAATCCGTTAGTACTTTCTCAAAAGCTCTGTTTTGTATCGGTTTGGAAAAGCCAGGGGGGAGGTTGCATCACCCATCCCCCTATAAGTCCGCGTTAAGAAAAACGGCATATAAGGGTGAGGGTTGAAGAGTCAGATCAGGCCATTTGTATTTTGCGGGAGAAAGGCTCCATCTCGGATCTGATCTCGATCATGATCTCGGATCCATGAAATCAGATTTTTCTCTTCCTGAGATCTCAGGGGAGGCTAGGCCTCCCCTGAGATCTCAGGAACTTAGAGGGCTAGAGATACTCAACTCACAGGGTGTGTGGCCTATGGCAGGTCAAAGTCAAGCCATGGCACGCAGCGAAGGGCATTTCTACGAAATCGTTTACGATTCCCTAGGCCTAGGACTGATTTGTAGGGAATCAGTAGCTTGTTTTTTTTGCTGATGACATGGACCGCGACAGTCATGTTTCATGACCTTTGTAAAGGTTAGTGTAAGTCACTTACCGAAAATGACCCACGTCAACTTTTTGGGGAACATTCCGCTTAACGTAATCCCTGGTCTTTATTTGAATAGGAGAATTGAAAAAAATCTCGCAGGCATTTCGTGACCTTCACCTTATGAAGGTCAAACAGGACCACTGACATCAAGGATTTTCCGTATAGAACAGGTATCCATCTTCACGGTGAGGGCATGAGGAGGTCTCAAGGCACATAGAACACCAATCCAGAGCTTGTTGCCTTTGACCTTATTTGACGTCAAAGTCGTGAGCTAGGAACCTCAAATTTGAACAAAAGTGAGTTCTCATCAAAGCGTATCTACCATGTAGACATCGTTGTCCAGCTTTCATATTTGTCGAGATTTAAGGGAGTCAAATTGACCTCCCTTCACCCGAGCAAAGGGTATGCGACCAGCCACCGCGACGCGTGTTTACCATGCATGGCCACCTCCTACAGCGTAGGTGATATATTTGGGCACAAATAGCGATGTGGCAGTCAACAAACACTGCCTTTCTACGACCCCGCGCATTGCAACAGGCGAAATGTTCGCAAAAAACTGCATCACTGTGAAAACACACCAACCGTCGTTTCCAACTTCCAGCATTGGTAGAGTTCTGAAGTCATGCTGACCACATTCGTGACGTGGCCAAATGCGTCGTGGAGGGTGCGCGTTCCAGGACAAGCGTTCCTCTACGGCTCACAAAAGAGAGTCATTTGGGTGATGGCCGGACAGCGTCAGCCTGTTTACAGGGCAGCTGAGAGTCGCGTAATTGCATGTCACGCTGTATACCCTGACATTGTAAAAGATTATTTGCAAACATGTGATGATTGTTTAAAGTGTAGGCAATAAACCATTTTCAGCACAACGTCAGAGTCGGTTCTGTGTTTGCAAGGTTTTTGTTATCTGTTTTGTGCGTTATATATCTATCTCCATATGTGAAGCTATATTTTGAACTAGCGATACCGCGCCATAAGTAGCATGATGCTATTTTATTCTTGTCATGAGACCATACAGCGAACAATTTTAGATTGAAATAAATTCATGTTGGGTTCGTAGCCTTCCATGGGCAGCAGACAAAACACCGTTTGGCATGCTAGGCTCTGCGGGGCCCATTAATCAGTGTCGTCAATATCATGTTCAGCACGCAGAATTAAAGCGTCTGGGCTTTCGTTTGGCAGGCAACCAACGCGCCATATAAAGAGCAGTAACACAGGAAGGTGGGCCTGTCTGGTAAAAAGAAAACAGCCGAAAAGTTATATAGCTGTTGTGTAGTATGGATAGTGGAAGGTAGGAGTCAGCCTTGCTCAGCTTGACCTATGATGACTGTAGGATGTAAAAGTAGCACTCTTAGACAGGGAGAGCCTCCATGTGTATACAGTAGCACATCCAGACAGGGCACGCCGTCGTGTGTCGTCAGTAGTGCACACAGATAGGGAGCGGGGCCATGTGTAGAAAGAAGCACACCCAAACATTAAACGCCGCCACGTGTGTAAAGTGTATGCGAGTACAGACCAATGGCCTTGTTCGCAGAACACGAATAACCGGGAGTCAGACCTAAGTCACAACTAAGGGTCAATTTAGACCAGTCACCTGCGGTTACCCCAAAATGTCTCTTGAGTGTCTTGGATCGATACTGTGCCTAAGGCATTGCGGTGATCAACGCATTAAAAATCAAATATCAATCAGTGGAATGTGGCATGGTAACCAGGAAATGCTATCCACTTTATGGGTCCTCCATCTAAAAGGTGCCTGAGTTGTTGACTTAACGTACCCATTATGTATTTTATTAACTAACCCATTATGTATTGACGGTGCGGCCGAACAATGCGAGCGTTCACCGAACATTGTTGTTTGGAGGACACCGCGACATTCATGACACTGGCGCAAATCGTGCTATCTACAGACGAATAATTTTCATGGAAGAGTAGGCCTAACTCCTCTTGAAGTTACTGTAACGATAAACATTTGTGTTCCTCCCTGTCCTGACAATGTGCTCTCGCTGTTGCGGCGTTCGGTAACTATTTGTTTTTATGGTCTTCCTTTATCTTCTACCGCATCTCGGGTTACCTTTTCTCCTCTGTGTAGACACTGGCTGTACATTTGTGGGCAATAATATCTTTTAAGCTTGGAATCCGGTCATATTTTTGTCAGGGTAGAAAGTGGACGCCAGCTTTGACGCAAAGATGTATCCAGTTTTATATATTTATGTCCAACTTCTTGCACCTGCAAAAAAAACAAGCACACGAACGGGTGGAACCATTGTTCACCTTTACCCAGGTTTCAAGTCCAAAGGAAATCATGCGATCAGTGCCGTTACACCAAGATAACCCAACATACGGCAACTAATCAGACCCTGCTCCCACCGTACGACAAACTTGCGAATGTTAGCGCTTTGGTGCCGACGATGACGGTCAGGTCACTGACGTCAGGTCAGGTCAGATCAGGTCAGATCACGACGGTCACTGTCTGGCGGCTTGTCCTCAGGCGGCGTCTTTAGAGGCATCGGAGAATCCACTTGGCGGGAGCATATTTGTAGAGCTTGTAGTTGATGATGGTGCACGTCTGACCGTATCTGCAAGCGGGCAGGCAGGGCAAGCGGCATACGCCTTTGCAGCACTTCTGGGAACGGGGACAGTTGTAGTCGTTGTAGCACTGCGGTTTTCCTCTGCTTAAAGGACGGATGACGATCACCAGCTTCGGGCAGCTTCCCCGCTTCCCAGCCTCTGGAGAAAAGAGAAGACAGGTTGAAATCCCACCCTCTGGTGCTGGAAACTGCAGCGGGTAATGCAAATGGCGGTCAAAGGTGTCCCCTACTTGGCAGGCTAGAATTGGGGAAAACTGTTGCTACAGAAACAGACTTATATCTCATGGCGTTATCAAAAAGGTATGCGAATGCAAATCCGCGATGTAGTTGCAGCCTGATTGCCGCCATCACACATGTGCTATTGGGAAAGTAGATTACCGATAATTATTCTTACGATGAAGTTTGATACTTTTAGTTAGCTGGGTTTCCTGGTTCACGGCCCACACCAAGCAGTGATTGTTGTCTGAGCCCTGAGTTCACCATATGCTCATGCAGTTCTAGATCAGCGGGATAGTTTTCCGGCGAAAGTTTGGCGTCCCATATGTTCGACATATATATACGTGTGTTCATGTATTCATATACATGTATACATGTGTCCGACACGGTCCGTCCTGCCTCTAACATCACCTAACCTTTAGCGCGCCCGGTGCCAAGGCCCGCCGGTCATCCCAGGCAGAGGCCAACAGTGGGCGCCTGATGCCACTTGAACGCACTCTGCGTCAGGTGGGTGGACCGGAAGGCAAGCGCTCCAACCAAGCCAAGTTTTGGATCCGGCATATATCTTTTAATGGGGTTTCATCAACAGTGCTTCATAATTCTTCATGATTCTTAATCGCTTGCATTTTGTACTATTTTCACCATTAGCTTATAGTGGTGGTCTCACTGTCAATATACCCACATCTTAAATATATTGACAACACGTATCAGCCGTTGATGACACTCAACAACCCCTTCCCATCAAGTTCAAAATTTTAAAATGAGACTCATTTGCTGTCATGTTTGTTGTCAATGTCAATGTCAAATGCGAGCAAATGCTTTCCTTCGATATCCAAGCCTGGTCAGCCGTTGCCAAATTTGTAATTGCTTGTTTGTTTTTGATGTTCCTGAAGAGCTGATGCAATGTTTTCCAATATGTTAGGATTAGAGTATTCACTAAGCATAACCGTTGCAAATACCTTAGCTCGACAAGCCTAACAGAGTGGCTCTAATGGAAGGAAATATTTTGGCCCACATATTTCAACTTCAACCTTGCAATGACCTACCCCGGCCGCCTCATGCCAACACCAATGACCCGCTCACTGTGCTCTCCCTCCATGTCCACTCACCTACGGGGCTGCTGACCAGCACCAACGCCAGGACCAGTACTGCGGTGATGAGCTTCATAGCTGTGGGCTTCACTAATTGCCT